ATAGTAGTAATAATATTAACAATAATAATAACAATAATAATAATAATGATAATGATAATAATAATAATAGTAATAATAATGATAATAATGATAATAATAATAATAATAGTAATGATAATAATAATAATAATAATAATAATAATAATAATAATAATAATAACAGTAATGATAATAAAAATAATAACAACAATGATACTAACAATAATAATGATAATAATGATGATGATAATAACAATAATGATAATAATGATGATAATAGTGATAATAATAATGATAATAACAATAATAATTATAACAATGATAACAATAACGGTAATTGTTATTATTTTCATTTCATTATTATCATTACCATTATCATTAGTGTTATCATCATTACTATTACTATTACTATTACCATTTTCTTTATTATCGTTATTCTTATTATCGTTATAGTTACCTATCATTATTATCATAATTGTTATTGTTGTTCTTTCTAATCATTATCACTTTTGCTGTTATTATCACTGTCATCGTTATCATCATCATCATTTTTATTACCATCATTGTTTATATTATCATCTTTACCACTACTGCTGCCGCCAGCCTACACCAAGTAAGCCTACATAACTCGTAGCCTATTTCCATGGCAAGAAATTAAGCCGAGTACTATTTAATACGGATGCCGTGATGTAGTATATTTGTTCAAAGTAGGTATACGCAGATCTGGTATGATCTGCGTACACCTCACTACACTGTATATCTACTGAATTCATTGTAAAGTGTGAGTTTCCCTTAAGAGACCTATGTATTTTGTGATAATAATGTAATGTGTCGTAATGTGATATCCATTGTACTATTTGTCGCTGTGGTTAAAATATATAATGTCTATGATTATATAACAACAGAATATAACATCCACTGAGCGATAGTTACAGTCATATTCATGTATGCTAATCTTCAAAACAAACAAAATTATCAGAAAAATGAGACTATAGCATTTCACTGTTACGGAAAAAAATATATATTCACTCTCTCATGTAAAAAGAATCAACCCGAACAGAAATTAGTACCATCGAAGTATAAGTACAGAATACAAATACACATATCACGTAGCCTAATGATTTTAAGATAATAATGCTTTTTGAAGTAAATCAAAGGTATTGGAAAGACATCGGCATGCCCTTAGTTCACTGATTCTCCGCCAGGGGTGAATTAATCCTACGGAGAATAAAGATTTACACGGCAAGGGTAAAATCTATAATAATATGGTTGTTCAAAGTGGTTTATCTTACCAGGCGGCGTGTATGGTGTGCCTAAGGTTCTTCTGTGCTGGGGTTTCATCGGAATGTGTATAAATAAGCCCACGATTAACATTACCAATAATAATCATGATGATAATGATAGTAACAATGACGATGATAATAACAATAACAATAATAAATAATAAGTAAATAAAAAGTAAGGGTAATGAAGATAACAGTAATAAAGAAAAAAAAGGATGATAACAATAACAATAATAAAGAAAATAAAATGTAATAACACTGATGATAACAACAACGATAACGAAAATAATGATAATGAAAATGCTAATTCAGAGACATTAGGCAAACCTTGGCTACCTAACTAGTTTTACTGAGTTTTACTGAAGAATTTAAAAAAGTTGACGGTGTCTCCTACTCCTTACTTAGCATGCCTTCAAATTGCAAGCTCTCTCTTCCACTGTAGCTCTACGTGAATTGAGTTGCTCTAGGATCTACGTGAATCAGGTTACTCTAGGCTCTATGAGAATCAAGTTGCTCTAGGGTGTACGTGCACCAAGATATTCTAGGCTCTATGTGAATCAGATTACTCTAGACTCAACGTGAATCAGGTTACTCTAAGCTCTATGTGAATGGGTTTCCTTTACTCCAAGCTCTAAGTGAATCGGTTTCCTTTACTCTAAGCTCTATGTGAATCGGTTTCCTTTACTCTTAGCTTTATGTGAATCGGTTTCCTTTACTTCAAGCTCTATGTGAATCGGTTTCCTTTACTCTTAGCTCTATGTGAATCGGTTTCCTTTACTCTTAGCTCTATGTGAATCGGTTTCCTTTACTCTAAGCTCTATGTGAATCGGTTTCCTTTACTCTTAGCTCTATGTGAATCGGTTTCCTTTACTCTAAGTTCTATGTGAATCGGTTTCCTGTACTTCAAGCTCTATGTGAATCGGTTTCCTTTACTCTAAGTTCTATGTGAATCGGTTTCCTTTACTCTTAGCTCTATGTGAATCGGTTTCCTTTACTCTAAGTTCTATGTGAATCGGTTTCCTGTACTTCAAGCTCTATGTGAATCGGTTTCCTTCACTCTTGAACCAACGAAGAAAAAGGTTAAGAACTGACCGAAGCAGATAAAAGAGTTTCATTGACATCATGTTGACAATGACTCAGCGGTTTTCCTTTGACAAGACTTTAGGTATGTTTGTTTTGTTTTTTATTTATATGTAAGCGGTTAGTGTATTATGTATTAGTGTATTATTGTGTTTATT